TGCCATTGTGGCAACTATCATGTTGAGCTCTGAGACCATTGCTTTAATATGTCTGGCTGGATGCTTTCAATTGGATGAAGACTTTCTTTTTTTAACCCCAGCAACCCTCACCAACTAGAAATGACACAAAAAATTAATTTAGATAGACACAATTTAACCTAAGAGTTAAAGGTTTCTGAATGAAATGGCAGGATATGTTCCTTAAGAGATTTACAAGATGTGGGTGACATATGCAGGAAATTTTTAAGTACATTTATTTAGAGTAAGAGACAGACTGTCATTAATCCTCTAATAGTGCCCCCCATCCTTTGAGTACACTTGTCTCATTGTTCTTGCCACTCTTGGAAGCAGTTCTAAAAGTCTCCTTTTGTGAGTATCTTTGCCAAGTGTGGTCAAAAAGCCAGTGATTGCAGCTGCTGAGTGCCATACAATGGAGAGGCAGGCTCTGAAAGCATTATGACATATCCTAATCCACCTCATTTAGCTTACCTAGCCTTGTGCAGCTGTTGGCTCTTCCTCAAAGGCAAATGACTGTGAAGTGGACACTTGGATGGACTCAACTCAGTGATGTAATTTTCAACCTGCTAAATGTCAGATATGTCAAGTTTGTGTTTGCCAAAATCAGAAAATGAATTTTAAGGAACAGTGGAGGTTAAGAATAGGAAGATTCAGGGGCCAGGGATATAGCTTAGTGGAATAAGCACTTCCCTGGCAAGTGCAAGGGCCTGAGTTCAATCCCCGGTTCTGCAAAAAAAAAAAAAAAAAAGTAGGAAAGATTCATTGAGAAACAGCTCCAGAGAGACAGGAAGGGTCATGAAAGTGAGTTACCACTGAGGCCCGTTGTCAGGGGTAATTTACACAGCACAGTAACAATGAGGGCACAACGTGGGCCAAACTATAATCAATCTGTAGGATTATACCCGTAGGTATAACTGTTTAGCTAATAGTGGTCCAATAGGGAGTCCTGTTACAAAGGCACCTAGAAAGATCAAAGGCATTTTGGGGAAGGGACTGGTCCAGATGCTTTGGGTGACTGATGCCTAGCTGGACTTTTTGGGCCAGGTGGTGTTATTTGTAGTGCATTTTAAGTTACTGTTTATTCTCTTAGGGAGGCATGTAGGCTAGGCCATTGTATATTTTGGGCCTCATCTTTAGATAAGCTTCCAACCATAATTCTAATGTTTTTTTGTTTTGCTTTGTTTTTCCTGTTGACTTCCTTGAGAGCCCAGTCCTTCTCAGAATTTCTAAGTTACCTACCTATAATAACAAGACATTGAGGCAGCCACAACAGCACAGCTGAAGACACAAAAGAAGACACAGAACTGCTTTAGAAAATGACACGGATGATGAGATAACTATGCTCAAAGGAGAAAATTTTGAGGGGGATTAATGGTGATGTGTGTTCTACTGCAATATGCTTTTTTCATACTTTAAAGTTTTATGAAATAAGAAAATTTTTATTAAAAAAGCAAATAGTAAGAGAATAATAATAGTTGTTGCACTATATTGTTTTCTTCAAATTACTCAATACAAGACAATCTTAACAGGTTCTCACAAAAGGAAACAGATAATAGCACGTTCTTCTTTTATTATATTTCAAAAATCATTTATTTAACTATTTATCTATTTATTTGGTCCAGGGTCTTGCACGTACAGATGCTCTTCATTTAATGACCTACCTGTTCGGACTTAGGGCTGAGGCACGTTGTTCAAACTTAATGACTCACTTGAACTTACCACCTTTTTTTCCTTGTACAGTTTGTAAGTCTTGTTTATTGAGCCTCGATATGCTTTTGTGCAGTACACCCAGTTTATTCAGTACTGTTTTTGCTGACTGTACAGTACAGTTTATGTTCCATTATATATTACAGTACTGCATATAGAGTTACACAGATTAAATCAGAGCTATCAAGTTGGCGTGGTTTTTTTTGACTATTTCTTTGTTTTGAACATTTTAACATACATATTATATAAAATTCCACATTTAGTGACCAATTCATTGATAGCATAGTTTCAAGAATGGAACTGACTTTAAAGGAGAAATGGCTGTGGAAAGGAGCCTGTCACCCAGAAAATAATAAATTCTGTTTCAGAGAAAGGCTGATTTTAAAGGAGTCTTGGTTTTCTTTAAAGTAGCTTTGAATTTGACAATGGTGTACTCCTGTGAGGGTTTGAATGTAGTCTGTGTAACTTTTAAGGATGGGTTGCATTTTAAGTTTAAAAAATAATCTTTCCCAGTTACATTGTAGGAATTCACCAAATGCCTATTGACTGAATATTTGGATTAATGTAATGATAGTATTCAAGTTGCCGTAGGATCCCAGTTCATCGATCGAAGTATCCCTGGGTTTCTCTTACCCTCACAGATAATGCTTTCAAGGGAGCTTTCTCCATGTGGCTTTCAGCATCTTGAAAATGGCTGAGTCAAATTTCCGGCTTCTCTGCAGCACCCGGGATAGCTTCTGTCCCTCCTCACCACTTTCTTGCCTCCTCCAAGCAGCACAGTGGTGCCCTTTACCTCCTTCCTGTGCGGCCATGTTTTCAGAAGGACCAGAGAAGTGAGAGTTGGTGAAATAATGACTCAGGAAATGAGCTTCCAAGCACAAGAGGCCAGCGTCTTGCCAGCATGGTTGGTTTCTGCCCTGTTCTTGGCTGTTGGCTTCTGTGATGTCCTGGTTTTACTCTCATCAGCATTGCTTGTTAGGAAACTTCACCAACACAATGATTCTTTTATTCCAAACCACAATCCTAGTTGGAACTGTGAGGATCTTCTGCTCTGTACAGGTTTGTTTTCTCCCCAGTGATAGTTTAAAACAAAAATGTTGTTGAATATTTCTGTGGCCCTCATAAAACTCTATTAAAAGTAAGTTTTAATAAGAAATTATGAGTTTAAAATGACAGTGAGTTGCACTATAAAAAATAAATACTACATTTTAGAAGTCTTGCCCCAAACCTTAATGTCCATCATATTCTTCTTTCCACCTTAAAACATTTGTCTAAGTTTCCAAATTTTCCAGAAATTTTATACATTGAGTTTTGGATTCCTTATTTGGTAAGACATTGAGTAATGTGATATTGCTGGTGATGACATATCTAGTTAATAGTAGGTCACATTTATTATTTATTATCCTAATGTTTTATGTGAATCATCTCATTTAATTCTCACAAATTATTATAAGTAGGTATAGTATTATGCCCATTATTGAGACAAGGAAACAGAGGCTTAACATGGCTTCAGCAAATTTGTCAGAGATTTATTCACACCTAGGTATGCTAAGTCCATGGCCCTCCGGTAGCTGCCTGGCTGTCTTAGGTGGCAAACTATATACTAGAATATCCCTCTTCTCTTCTGCAGTCTTCAGGTTATGTCCTGCTTTAGTCTCTTTTCTGTTGGTATAACTGAGTACCACAGACTTTATCATTTAGACAGAATTAAAGTTTATTTAGCTCATGGTTCTGCAGAAACCTAAGAGCATGGTGTCTGCATCCACTCAGCTTCTGATCAGGGCTTTTTTCTTATCTGACAACATGGCAGCAAGGACCATATGGTGACATAAAGCAACCTACCAGAGTGAGCTGCATTCATGACAACGTCACTCCTGTGATAAACCATTAATCCATGAGTGGATTGCACCATTTATGAAGGCAGAGCTGTCATGGCCCAAGTACCTCCCAAAGGTCTCGCACATGAAATTTGGGGAGCGCGTATAAACTATAGCTTGTCCATATTTATCCTTCTACAGGGGCTTGTGTCACATTAGGCAAAAACAAATGATACAGATCAAGGAAGCTGGATCATGGATAAATGAGAAAAAAGTAGTAGGGGGCAGGAAAAGTTTTAAAAAAAACTTTAACAGTACTTTTCAGGGTTGACAAGTGTGGAGTACTTTTCAGGTCTCTCTTGATGATCTGAAAGAAAAAAACAGTAGGTAGCCTAACCAATCTCTGTTCACTGACAAAGCATAGGGGGCAAATTTGTGTGGAAACAGATTATTAACAGGAAACTAGCAGGAGAGGGGAATGAGGCAAAATCTAAATTTTCCTTACTTTTTCCAACCCTAGTTTTGGAATTAGCTATCTGCTATGTACACAAATAGATCCTGAGCATACAAGAAAAAGAACCACAAGGAAAGCAGGAATAGATGTATTCACCAGCTCTCTACTTTATGATAAAGCTCAACACTGTCTGAAAAAACCAGAGTAGCCTGGCTTTCAGCAAGGTCTTGCCTTTTGCAGAAAAAGCCAGGAGAGCTCCAGGATGGACACAGCTGTCTATCCGTGCTTCTCTCTGGTCTCCAGCATCCCAGCAGCCTGTCTGAGAGGATGATAGTTAAATTAAGAGTGAGAGCTTAGCCCTACACTTTGCTCTTAATGCTCCATCTTTGCAAAAAGGACACTGTCCTTTTACCTAGTGTATGCCTGGTTTAAGAGTCAAATCTTGATTTCACCACCAACTCATTTAATTTTCCCAACTGCTTAACTCCTCTGAGCCCTATATTCTACATCTATGATATGAAGCTCATAGGGTTATTTTTGAGGACAAAAGTAACACTTAACTGTTTTAGTTCCATTTCTCTCATTGCTGAGATGAAATACCCAATGTCCAAAGCTAAGGGAAGAAAAGTTTATGTGGCTCAGAGTTCATGGAGATTTCAATCCAGGATTGTCTGGATTCAAGGCAGGGTGGCATCATAGAGGAAAAACAGTTCATGGTGGTAGGAGACAGTAAAAGCAAGCAAAGGAGGGAGGAGACAAATCTCTTCGTGTCCCTTATGTTATGTGTGGCCTCCTGGGATCAGGGCAGGAAAGTCCAGTCAGTGGACTGATCCATCAGTAACCCACCCTCAACCCCAGCATTACACCCCTCAGTCAGTCACACACTGTAGATTCAGCCACCTCCAAGGAAGCCCTATCTATCTAAGACTGCATGAGACTTTGCAGGGACGTGTAGACACAACCCTTAGCACTTACTGTCTGGAATACACAAGTGGTTGATAAAGGTCAGCTTTCCAATTCTGCTTATGAAATGCAGTTTTAAAGAAAAGGTTAAATAAAAGAAGTTAATCATTCCACTGTAAAGTCTTGGGTCTGAAAAAGATAAAGATTTTTATTTTCTGATCTTCCAGAATTCTATGCCTCATCTCTCACTTAAGACTTTGCATTTCTGATCCAGGGAGAAAGAAATGAAATTCATTTTGCTTAATAAAGTCTCTTGGCAGGAATTTTTAAACTGTGATGAAGCTAGGTTAAATGATAGCCAAGTGGGGCCACTTCCAGGGGTTTTGGAGGTGAAGCAATTTGTTTTTATACTTGTATCAGTACTTTTACTCTTTCAGATCTCATTTTTAGTCCCTTAGGTTCCATAATAGTCTTCAGTACTATACATTTTTATTAAACATCTTTTTTTGGACTCCAATTTGCATTTCAGATAATATAACAAAATGTATGTGTTTCAAATATTCACTGCATAATTGTGATTAGAACATGTAATCCCTCAAAAGATGTTAATTGCAATTTAAATTCACACTGAATTTAATTAAGTGAGTTGGGGATTAGAAAGATGTAAGGAGTAGTTAAGGGAATACATTTTTAAAAGCATCCACATTTTTTTCTAAAAAATGTAAACCTTTCAACTTTTATATTAGAAAGATGAAGGAAATATAAAAGAGAAGCAGGTTAAAGGACATCTTAGGAAAATATTCAGCTGTGTTCACAGTTTGGATTCTGAATTGAAGCTGATAGTGGTTAGAGAAAGAGGGCTGGTTTCAATACTTCATTGATGTTCTCAAAGAGTCTTTCAGTACTTGTTCACTCACTTGGTGCCCAATAAAGACCTCCACTAAGATCTTTAAGAATTGCAGAGGACGACCGGGTGGGAAGTCCTAACAGATCTTCAGATCTTCC